CTATCTATCTATCTATCTGTCATCTATGTATCTCTCTCTCTGAGTGTAATATTTGTATTTATTTATACAGTAAATAAATATAAATATGTTGTTTTGAAGACAATGGGTAATCACACCAAATATTGGCTTGATCTGGATTTCTTTTCTGTTCATTTTCTTTCTATTTTCTTAAGTGACACATATAAACTATTAACACTTCTAAAAAAAAAAGACATTGAGGTTGGATTCATTTGGTTAGGAGACTGGCATTAGTCCCTTTCAAAATGCTAGTTTCAAATTTAGGTCAAGAAGACTATGGAAAAATAAGGAAGTGCACAACGAGTCGATCACCCTCATCTTCTGGAATGAAAAACCATCATGACATCAGAGGTCTTCTGTCCACAATGGCACCATGAGACATGTGGTGTCACTTGCTGGTTTCTTGAGAATAGATTTGCACCCTGTCATTGTGATGCTTAGGCAGCCTTTCTCAGTCAAAGCCTTCTCCCTGAGCCCCACTATTCTCTACAGGAGGGGTGTCCAACCTTGGCAACTTTAAGACCTGTGGACTTCTACTCCCAGAATGGCTGTGGAATTCTGGGACCTGAAGAGCACAGGTCTTAAAATTGCCAAGGTTGGATACTCCTGCTCTACATTATGCTAGACTACTACTGCCATTTCTCCAGACAGCCTCCCAGGAGAAGTCCTGCTGTCTGTGCTTGGATCTGTAGCTTGCCACTTCACAAACAGGGTAGAGATGATCTTCTCTGACTTAGCAGTTTTCCTGTGACTTTCCTGATTTCCTGCATGAGAGTCCTCTTTTTTGCTTAAAAAAACAGACATTTTGCAATCATGTCTGCAAGGCATCGAGTTGATGAAGGCTTTGTGGCTCCAGGTTTGGATTCGGATAGGACTTTGGGCCAGATTTCCATGCTGGGAGTGGGCTTCCTGTGCTGGTCCAATTCCACAGCAACAACGAGCTTCCTTCAGCACTGGAGCACTAGGTGCTTTCAGAGGTTCAGGAGCTATTTCTGATATTGCCTGAGCGCAAATTATGATTATCTACGCCTGACGTTCAAAGCTTTGGTTTCAGCGTGCACAGCTGCACAGAATCCCGTCTCTCCTTCCGTCTTTGGTTTCTACTACCTGGGGGTAAGAACAGGAGGGTCTAGGAGAAAGCCATACCTTCTCTTCACTGCTGATGTTTCGGGAAGAGGTCCTCCAAGTGATGGAGGGGATGGGATCGCCAGAGGCCTCGCAGGTCAGAATGATCTGGTCTTCCAGCTCCATTGCAGTTTTGTTCTCCACAAAGGTGATTTGGGGTTTTGCTAAAGGAAGGGGGTTAAAAAAAAGCAGAGACAGACCACAGTTGATTTGGCAGTTGGAGATCGCAAAGCCCCCCTTCTCCTGGTAGCTCATTGTTAAGGAGAAGCTCCCTGATTGCTAAGGGGGCTACTGTAAAAAGTGCCATACGACCCCCCAAAAATACATGAGGCAATTTGCATATATGGACACATTCTGCATATTCGAATGGGTCTAAATTAATTGCGGGATAAAAACCAAACGAACAAAGTTTTTGTCATCTTCCCCACCCCCAGAAAACAGCAGTAAAGCTATTCAGTCTGGGGAAATTCACTAGGCACACTCCTTTCAGAACTTAATGGACTAGATGTCAGGATTCCAGCAGTTACTCCAATTAAATCATGAGCCTCAAGCCACACTCCCAAAACTAAAAAGGATTTATTAGAAGTGAACATGCTGGCATTAGCCTGGGCATAGCCAACTTTGAGATACGTGATTCACTGTCACCCTTGACCCTGCTTTCCCCCTCACCCCCCTAGGTGTACCATCCAATGAAACACGTCCATAGCCAAGAGCCATCAATCATGCTCTCCAATTAGATTTTTGCACTGCAGAAACTTCATCTAATCAGTCTTTGAAGAAAATATGAATGGAATGTACTTTCGATACCACACTGCTGCCTGCTCTTTGAAACTTTCCCCTTCTTTCTGTTGACAACTATAAAATGTGTATACAATATGTTTTATGAGTTGACACTAGAAACTTAAAAAAACACACACACACAAAGTGGACATGTAATGGAACCTATTTGAAATAGACTTAATTCTATCCTTGCTAGTTAATAAGCCAAATCCAGCTGCCAAGACTCTGGCTTTGAAGGAAAACAAAAAGAAAGACTGAAGAGCCGTGAGGAAAGCTTACCGAAGACTTTGAGGTGGACAGTGGCATCATGTTCGCCCGCTTTGTTCTCGGCAATGCACACGTACTCAGCCTCGTCGTTCTTCTCCACTCTGTGGATGGTCAACTCAGAGCCATCGTAACTGAAGCCGTACTTTTCCTCATCCTCCCCTCGTTCTATTGGCTCTCCGTCCCTGCGGGTAGAAATGGACGTTATCTGAGACACCGATTGGTTTCTGTACATAATTCAGAGGCTGCCCGACTCGTTGTGACTCTAGAAGGCTTACAATTACGACAAAGCTTCTGCGAGCAAAACGGTCAGTTCCTCATGCTTTTTTTTTTCATGCAACTTAATCATGGCCAAGGCATTAATTAGCTGGGCTGCTTTCCTATAGTGTTGTAAACTGACTGGAGTCATTTGATAGAGAGATGCGTGTCATATAAATTTAATAAATAAATATGCTCTGAGATCACTGGTTTTCTGTACTACTAAGACCCATTAGTGTACCATGGGAAGAGGGAGGCACTTTGGTCCAGTGATGAAGGCACCAGAAACCAGGAGACAATAAATTCTAGGCATGATTCCTGTTGGGTTTGGGTCCATCACCAGGAGATGGTGAGTTCTAGTCCCGCCTTAGGCACAAAAGCCAGCGAGATGACTTTGGGCCAATCACCAGGAGACAATGAGTTCTAGTCCTGCCATATCCACGAAAGTTGGCTGGGTGACTTTGGGCCAAGCACCAGGAGACGGTGAGTTCTAGTCCCACCTTAACCATGAAAGCCAGCTGGATGACTTTATCCAGTCCCTCTCTCTCTCAGCCCAACTCACCTCACAGTGGTGTTGTGGTAGGGAAAATGCAAGGCGGAAGAAGATGTGTTGGATGCATTTGCTACCTTGAGTTATTTATAAAAATAATAATGATGGGATACCAATGAATACATGAGCAAGTCCCCCCTCCCATTCCTCCTGCCACACACCAACCCCTGCTTACTTGGTCCAGCTGATGAAGGGCTCTGGGAAGCCATCAGCGTCGCACACCAGTTTGACTGACTGGCTGAGATTGGCAGTGGCGTTGACCGTCCCCTGCCGAGAACGAACGGTGGGAGGCACTGAAAGGAAAGAGGGAAGTGGAGTAAGGTGTGCAGGCCCCTCCAGTGGCAAAGGGGGTGGGCGGGCGAGACCCCCTGTGAAGGAGATTCATGTGGTGGGCCTCTCTTCTACTTTCATCTTTTCTTGGCATGGTTACTAGAAGGCAACCCGATTCCAACAGACTGATTAGAATTTGAGGGCAACTGCTCTTTGTCCATCTACGCTCCCTCTTCTTTTTTTATTTTATTTTTTTTAACTTTTATCAAAATATAAAACACAAAGAAAAATGGAAATAATGGGAAAGTAAGGGAGGAAAAAGCAAAGCACTGACTTCCGACTCATTTTTTAGCACAGTAGAACAAGAGAATAACATACAGCCTCAACTTCTTACTTTTATATAGTATCTAGCCCCTTCTACAACAACAACAAAATCTATCTAATCAGCAAAACCCAAAATTTCAATTCCCCCCCATCTCACGCACAAAGTCCAGAAGCTGTTTCCAAGTGGAAACAAAGCTAGCTGCATTCTTTTCTTTAATTAAAGCTAAAAGTGAGCTCCATCTTCTGAATAGGCCATCTTTCTACAGAAAAAAACGCATGCATGAATCCGAAAACACGTCCAAAGGGCCATCTGTTATTTTTAAGGTTTGTTAGCATCATAGTGCTTATATTGCTGCATTTGACTGCTTAAAGACATAATTTGATGCAGAGCACGACAAGAGGAAATAAAAAGTTTAGAGTTCAGCTTTCGCTGAAAAGGACGCCCACTTTAATTGCTCAGGTTTATGCGATCGGCTGTCAGAGTCCTAAAGCTACCCATTCACACGTTTATGACTTCACTAGTGGTTAGAGAGTACCAATCCATGCGTGCATTTGGCGGAGGCAGCAGTGAAGAGGTTGAGTAACTGGGATGTTCAGGATGGTATTTATCAAATCATGGAAGCAGAAGGCACCAACACAACACCTGCACTTTTCTGTCAGGGTGCCCAGGGACTTGAGAAACATGACCTGCTTGAGATCCAACCACAGCCAAGGAGCTGAGGACAATCTCTTCTAGCTGCCTTGGAAATTATCATGGGATAATTTATTATGATGGGATGACAGCTGCCAGACTATCTTCTAGCTTGTCCGTAACTCAGAAGGGTTAAAATAAGAACAAATGGCCTCTCTATCTATTCTTTCATTTCAAGGTTGCCGAATGAGCTCTGCATTCTAATTCTAATCAGTGATCAGAAAGAAACCACCTGTCAGCTAGCAATCCTCCTTCCTTCCCAAATGGATGTTCTCCAGAACCGAGGTGAACAGAGATGGGTTGGTCTGGAATTGTTGGGAATGGTAGCCTTAGCCTTCTAGAGGATGCAAGACTCCAGAGACCTGAAAGGGATGGACAATACCAGGTGCAGCACCCAAAGCTCATGTGCCTTCTAACCAAAAGATGCTCACCATTCACGATGATCCGGATATCCCTGAAGTCCACCTCTCCTCGGGCCAAGATCCTCCCTTCGCAGCGATATATGCCCTCATCGCTTTTCTTTATCCCTCTGATCTGGAGGTAGTTATTGCTTAACACCACAAACCTCACTGGAAAGAATGGAGGAGAGAAGCTGGTAGATATAAGCCTGGCCCTGAGGAAGTCCTAAGTCTCCATCTTGGGCAACTTCATAATAAGACATGCATTCCAATTGAAAGAGATTCCTGGAAAGAGCCAAGTCCGATCAAACCCAACCACAGTTACTGAACTCAGCCTACAGTTTGCCTCCCAGATCTTTAAGGTTGACCTATCAGTAGCTACCTCTGGCAGCTTTAGGCCAGCAATCCAGGCTTCATTCATTCTGGCGCTTTGCTCTCCAGAAGTAATCTAGAACATTAAAGTTATGTGGAGGACTTCCTGCGCACCTCAAAACACATGCATGCACGCACAGACGCACACACACACACACACAAAGATGCATACACTTACCATCTTTCTTCAGGACCACATCTCTGCCCATGTGCTTCCACATAATTGTGGGAGGCAGTGAGGAGACAACATCACAGATAATAACTGCATCATCTCCTTCTTTGAACTCCTGTGGGCTGGGGGCATGTTGGAAGGTCAGTTTCTCTGGAAAGTAGATGCATAGGAAGGGAAGAGTAAATCCCGAGCCGGTCAGAGTTCATGCAGCAAACATGCTAGGCAGATGAGGAGAGCTTTGCCTCTTTTCAGCTCTAGAAGAGGCCAGGGACCTTGCAAATCAGCTCACGGAGCAAGTCGCTAACCACTAGGCTGCTAATGGATGCCTGAGAGCTTTTCAGTTTGGAAGTTCTGCCTTGTCAAATACTAACATGAAGCTACAAGAAGGACCCAAAACTCATTTACCTTAATAAAAACATGGATTAATTGAAAATGCATACCTCAGGAGTGAAGGTTGGGCTTCCTTATCTCAATCAGGTACCAATTTCAGAAAGGACTTTGTTTTTTACTACTGGTTCTGTGGGCGTGTCTTGGTAGGCGTGGCAGGGGAAGGAGACTGTAAAATCTCCACTCAGAGGTGGTATTTGCCGGTTCTGCAAACCACTCAAAATTTCCGCTACCGGTTCTCCAGAACTGGTCAGAACCTGCTGAATGCCACCTCTGGGAGAAGGCATCATAAAAGTTGCTTCTTAGGTATTCTATGGAAGATGTCTCCATCCTTGGTCACTTTAAGACTTGTGGGCTTCAGCTCCCAGAATTCTGAGAGTTGAAACCCACAAGTCTTAAAGTGGCCGGGTTTGGAGACCTCTGTTCTATGGGGCAGGATTCCTTACAGAGGGGAAAGTTCTCTCATTCCCCACCCAACCCTTCCTCCTCCAGCCCAACCACTTACGAAAGATCTTCACATTGAGAGTGGCCTCTTCCTCCCCTTCTTCACTGGAGACCACGCATTTATAGATGCCGGCGTCATCGATGTTAGCGTTGTAGATGGTGAGAGTGGAAGAATCATCTGACCGGACCACGGAAATGTGCTGCTGGTTTGTCGTCAGCTTATCACCATTGGGGGCAAACCAGAAGATTTCTTTGGATTTGGCATCGCCAGTCACTGCAACCAAGGAAGAAATCCAAACAGGAGCTGGGTTAGGGTGGCTGCTGGGTACGTGACGCTGGCAGCCTTTCAAGACAGCCATACCGAACCAAAGTCATGTAGGCCAACACTGATTTTGTTGCAAAGATCTAGAGATGGATTCTTGCAAGTCTGGATCATTTATTTATTTGTTATCCAAATGTATTGACCACCCAACTCCAGTAGACTTTGGTCTTCCTTCCACTTCTCTTTATCTTCCTGAGAACCAGGAAGGATCTTGCCTGAGATGTTTTAAATTTAATTAATTTAATTCAGTGAACTGATTGGCCACCCATCTGACAGTGAATGACTCTGAGCAGCTACAGGGAGAAGGTTTCCTGCCTAAGCAGGGGGTTGGACTAGAAGACCTCCAAGGTCCCTCCCAACTCTCTCTGTTATTCTGTTATTATTTCTTCCCTGGACTCAACCCTCTTTTATCTGTCAGTTAACTCAGCTGTTGCATGAGGAGAAGGTACAGCTCTATTCAGTGGGTTTACTCCCATGTAACACCTGATTGTGCAGCTACTCACCTTGACATAGGAAAAACTTGGATTCTCCAACAGGCACCTCCACCTTATTTGGAACTATGTTCACCTGAAGAGAGACTGAAAGATTGAAAGAAGCACCATGAGGTTATGATGATCACCAAACAAAGAAATATCTAATATTAATTGCAAAACTGAATGTCCACACGTGAGTGTTAGGGCCAGATTAAGACTACAGTCAACAGGAGTAGTGATTTACCATCAGCTTATCCAGTACATAGGAAGTGAGGTCTTGGCAGCACAAGGAAACAACAACAACCAACAATTTAACAACAACTGGGGGCCAACAACACCCCAATCAACCAATAAGAAGCCACACCCAACCAGGTGCCACATAAATACTATGCACAGAATTGCCCAAAGCAGTGATTCTCAATGTTTTCTTCACCATGGAAGAAACACCCTTTAGGTATCTTTTGTGGCCACAGACCCCCAAGACTTAACTCAAGATTTAAATCATTTATTCAAGCCTTTGCAGACCTTCTGTGATGACATCATGCCCCCCTCCCCAGGGGTCTGCAGACCGCAGGCTGAGAACCACTGGCCTCAACCACCCAGCACCCAGTAGAGAGAAATTCCCTCAGGAGGGGCTCCTGCTCAGAAGACTAAACCTCTGGTCCCAGTGACCGATCCAGATGGGATCCCTGGGTCAAGACTGTTGGGGTACACATTATTTCCATAGCAAGGAAGATAAAGCAGGAATGGTTAAAGTGATGATTGTACTCAAAGAGGAAAATATGTTTTGTATTTGGCTATCACTTCTGGAATCTGTGCTTGTGAAGGGAAAAAAACCCTGAAACTTTGACTTTGGTTTTGTTGCTTAGAAAGATTTGGTCTTACAGGCCTGGCTAGTTATATATTAATGTCTAAAAGCAGGAACAGTTGAGGTTGGAGTGTGCTTATCTTGTCCTGGGCTAATCAGAGTTGGAAGTCAATGCCTTCTTTTCTTTCTTTTCCTCTTTTCCCTTGTATCTCACCCCCCCCCCCCCCCCCCCCCCCCCCCTTTTCCTTCCCTTAATTCCCCATTTTTTTCCTTCTCTCCTTTGCAGTTTATATAATAAAATAAAACTGTAAAAAGACGGTTCGTGTAGCGAAGATGCTGTATGGATTTCTAGCAAGATTATCGGCATAGACCTGAGCACCCTTGCAACATAAAATTAGAATGCATCTTGTTACAAAAGTTAAGAAAAGCAATTTGAATGATTTCTCTGTCAGAATTAAGAGGTTTTCCTCTACTTTCTTTCCGCTCGCATGGCTTCACTTCCCTCCCCTCACCCTGCCATTAATGGGCCAGCTACTCTTTTACTCTGTTTTATTTCTGGGTAATCCAATTTTGCCCGTCCGTTCTCCTTCAGCATAATTCACTCCCAGGCAGAAGAATGACAGGACTGGGGATCGTCACCATCATCCCAATGAAAGCTTGATTAGATTGAGTGCAGCCAAGACCTAAATAGCCAGGAACTGAGCGACTTCCCGGCTTCTCTCGGGGATGCTGTGTAGGGCCAGCTCATCCGGGCTGCGCAGTGCAAGATCCCAAGGGGGTCTTTTGAGTCGAAGTCCACAAGTCGTCGTCGTCGCCCACTCTGGTCTTAGGTATGGATCTCGACAAAGAACAGCTTCCAGGCAGTGACTTCTCTTGCCGGATGAAGAATAAATAACCCTAAGGCATCTATTTGGACCAAATCAGGCCAAAAATTCACGGGTGAAAGCAAATTATGCTTGGAAGGGTTAGCGGTAAAAGGAAACCAGGCACCAAAGAACATGGTGGCTGGAGACCTTCAAAGCTGACACCAGACACAGCTTAAAGGTAAAAAGGTAAAGGTGCACATCCATGCTCGTTGTTTCTGGCTCTAGGGGATGGTGCTCATCTCCATTACAAAGCTGAAAAGCCAGCGCTGTCTGAAGACATCTCCATGGTCATGTGGCCGGCAGGACTAAATGCCAAAGTTGCACAGAATGCTGTTACCTTCCCACCAAAAGGGTCCCTATTTTTCTACTTGCATTTTTAAAGACTTTTGAACTGCTAGGTTGGCAGAAGCTGGGACGAGTAATGGGAGCTCACTCCGTTACGTGGCGCTGGGGATTTGAACCGCCAAACTGCCGGTCTTTCTGATCGACAAGCTCAGCGTCTTAAGCCACACTGAGCCGCCGTATCTCTTAGACAGAGCTTAGAACAACTCAAAGAAGTAGTTCAAGATTGGAAGATGTGGAGAGACCTGGCCCATAGACTCGCCAAGAGTGAGACAGAACTGAATGGCTATCATCATCATCATCATCATGGGATCTCTTCAAATTTGTGCGTAAGGTTGCCACGAAACATGTGAAGAAGGCATGGCTCAGCTTTGTCCTACATTCAGGTGGTGCCTGCAAAGCCCTCCCTCCACGGAACTTGCCCGCCTCTCTGTGCAGCTGCCTGAGATCCTTTCTAATGGCCTCCACACCACAAAGGCATTCACAATCTTTTCCCAAACCTTGGCATCGGAGAGTGTTGTGGTCTTTCATGAAAAGTAATGAGCCATTAGAGAAGACATAATTGGATCCTGGCTCCCATCGGTGGATACGTTTGCTGGAGCTTCCTGCCCTAACAAGTCTGGGTCAAAGAAAGATTTCAAGAAAGTCTGACCTTAATGCAAGCAATTTCTTAATTGCAGTCATTAGTTGGATGGAAAACAATCACCTTAATAAAAGAACTGCTTGGTGCAGCATAGTCAAAGCATCCCCCCTCCCCCGCTCTCTTAGCGTTGCAAATGCTTAATCTGTTCCACCCTTTAGTGGCCCAGTCCTACAGGACTGTGGGTGTTTGGTTTTTGAGATGGCTGGACCACAGACCCATTGGTTTCAAGTGCCTCCATGCAGGAATTTAAAAGCTGGAGGGGATCATTGTCCAGCATCTTGTTTATTTGGCTCATGCATTGATTGCAGAGGTGGGTATTCAGCCGGTTCTGACCAGTTCTGGAGAACCGTTAGCGGAAATTTTGAGTAGTTCAGAGAAACGGCAAATCCCACCAACCCCATCTTTTCTCTGCCTCCCATTGAGTCCCAGCTGATCGGCTGGGTCTCCTTTGGTTGCCCTACACAGGAGAATGGAGCTGGAAAGCAGGTTAGTGGGGTGGGGAGGGAAGGGGGATTTTGCAGTATATCCTTCCCCTGCCACGCCCACTAAGCCACGCCCACCATGCCATGCCATGCCCACCAAGCCACACCCACAGGACCGGTAGTAAAAAAAATTGAATCCCACCACTGATTGACTGGGCACAACAGAAAAGTGATAGCAAACAGCCTCACTCCAAGGGGACAGACCGTTAAAAATCTTCTGTCTGTACGCCAGTGGCTGTTCCTCCTAAAGTAAACAGAAAGCACCAAGGTTAAAAACTTTCAGCACTTCCTGATTTACTGTCTTCCAGGTCGTCGTTGTGATTGTCCGTATTCCACAATGACCTACTGGAGGTGTCACTGCCGACAGCAGCATGACCTGCTGCAAAAAAGCATCCATGTCTGGTCTAAAAAGGCCAGAGGCATCTTCCGACCAGATCAGCCACAGTTAGCAACCAAGGGAGGCCTCTGTGGCCCAGGACTGTGGCAAGGAGGACAGTGCAATGGCTCTTTGCTGGTGGGCAACCAGTCACCATCCTCTTCTTTTAATGTCCCCATAATCCCTTGCAGGGTGGAATCTTGGGCAACTGAATGGAGCTGAGTGTTTTACTGGCCGGATGCCCTTCCTGTTGCCAATGTGGAGTGTCATTTCAGCAGATATATTCTCATTGTGCCCAGAGAGAGAAATATCTGCATCTACCTAGGATGGAACTCATAGCCTCCTGACTGTGAGGCAAGAGCTCTACTTCTAGGCCCATCGCATCAAATAATGAAAACCACTCCCTGCATTTATTTTTATGTACCTGGACCAAAGCTGTGGAGAGATTCTCAGGAATAGGAGAGCTCATGTTTCCATGCATAATTCTTAAATTCGCCCTTTGACAGGTGAAGGCTGAACAGGAGGACATCCTTTAGAATTAAGTATTTTGTCTATTCTCTAAAGAAAGTGCAGGGCGTATGTTGCATCTAATCATGAGATCCATCATCTGTGACAAATTTAATCATCAACTAAACAGATACACATACACCCTGCAAACTAAATCCAACAGAAAGCAAGGGATGCATAAATAAATCAGCAAACAGGAAAGCAAGCAAGCAAGCAAAGAATATTGTAGAAATGTCACTTCCATTTCCATTTGCAGGATTAAACCTCACTTTAGCAGGGAATTCTGAATTCTAGAATCACAGCCTTTCCTGGACCATCACCATTCCTTCCGGTTTACGCAGTTTTGACTCATTTGGTTGGTTTCATGATAGAAAGATAAAAAGTTGAGGTGATTCCTTCCTAATTCCTGACTGTTAGGTGAAGGTACGTTATCTCACTCCTCCTTACACCGAAGAGCTGCACTGACAGGGAACAATGTGCAAGAGTCCAAAACTCATCTAACTCATTAAAACAACCGTGTCCTTTTTTCAGAATTTTGTCACTTAAGGTAGGGATGTTTCCACTGCAGCCCACACTATCCTGGAAACATACATGGTTGCATGGATTCGTTGCAAACAGAGGTTTATTTACCCTCCCTCCCATCCCAAAGCTCTTCTTTCAAATGGTATCTGGGACACCTCACAGCCTTTAAAGGCACACAGAGAAAAAAATTATGCCTTCGGAGGACTACATGGATTGACCCTTATGTGGTCTTCCTGGAAATTGTGGCTGAGTGGCAAGCTTAAAGTTTTGAAATAAGGATGCTATTAGCAGAATTCGGCCATTTTCCAACCCCTGAGATTTCACATCCTATTGTTAGGGATAAAAATGTGTCATCTTACTCTAGGAAAGTAAGGCTTTCCCCACATAACTGCTCTATTTCGAGCATAATAAGGCTGCACACACCACGGACTATATGGCTAAAGACTGAATTATCATCTCTCTTCTTTATGTTCTACAGCAGAGCTCCATCAACAGAGGACTTGCAGCGTTCTGCTGGACCCCAACTCAAAGTCAACTGTTCCCACCAAATGACATAAAA